AGTTTATAAATATTCACAGAATAGTCCACCCTTTCCCTCTGATTTTAATAGCTTTACTACCATTTGACACTTTTCCATATATGCTTGGGTCTACTTCTAGGCTGATTTTAATTAGAATTTTCTATTAAATTATCTATTAAATTAGAATTATCTATTAAATTAGAATTATCTATTAAATTATCTATTAAATTAAGAATTATCTATTAAATTTTCATTACCTAGCTTTAGATATCTACTTTTCTGTATTTACTATTTCTTCATCAGTTTATACAAAATACATTATTTAGGAATTTTAACTGGAAAAAAATTTTAGATTCCTTTGAGGAGAATTGTTATTTTTAAATTTTGGAGATTTGCCATTCATGAAAATATTATACTTCACTATTTATTTGCATCTTTCATTTCCTTACTCAGGTTTAGTAAATTTTTATATGTATTTTATTACATTTATTCCTAGGTAATGTATACTTCTTGTTGTTATTATGAATAACATATTTTTCTATTTTATTTTAAAATTTGAGCTGGCTGGTTACAGGGACTCTGGATTTTTGCATACTGAACTKGAGTTTCCAACAATCTTGCTAAGCTTTTGTTGGTTACAATATGGTTATAGATTCTCTTAAATTTTATACATAAAGATCATTTCATAGCAAATAAAAACGTTTATTTTTCTTTCTAATCCCAGTGGCTCTATTTTCTAATTTCTTTGTCTTGGTTAGAATTTTCAGCACATTTTCTAATTGTACCAGAGGGTAATTAATTATCCTTGTTTTTTTTAAATTGGTTATAATGAAAATGCTTTTAACCTTTTATCAATGAGCACGATGTTTGCTATAGATTTCTGGTAAATGTCACTCATTTAGTTTATAAAGATTCTCATCTTAGTTACCAAGAGATTTTTTTCTACAAGTGATTATAAATTTTACCAAATATTGAGATGATTTTTCTCTTTTCTTTCTTACCTTTTTTTCTTTTTAAAAAAATCTTAAGCTGCTTATGTTGTATATTATAATCAACAGATTTTCAGATTCTGAACCATCTCTGCATTGGTCAATTTGCTAATTTTTAAAAATCTAGGCTTATGTGCATTTAGTCTAAATTTTTTTTCTGTGTGTGTGTGTGTGTGTGTGCGCGCGCATGTGCGTGCGCATACTTTGTGGTCTAGTTTTCATATCAAGGATTCCTTTTTATCAATTGGCTCATTTAGTTATACGTGACAGTAGACTCCATGTTGACATAATTATAAAAGCATGGAATATATTTTGTTTTAATTCAGGCCCCAGTATTTCTCTCCCTGCTCTTTTCCCTCTACTCTATTGATCTTCCTACCATTTACCCATATTTTTAAAAAAAAATTTCTTTTTTTTAATATTTCTTAGTTCTCAATGGACCTCTATTTATTTACATGTGATGCGGAGAATTGAACCCAGTGTCTCACATATGCTAGGCAAGCCYTCTGCCACTGAGCTACAACCCCAGCCCCTTTAAACTAATTTCTTGTTCATATCAGGATTCTACTAGTTTGTTTCCATTGTTTTATCAGTTTGGGTGTCTGGAAGGTTTCATTGGACTAAAAGAATGTGGGAGGGGTTTCTGCAACATTTTAATAGTTTCAAATCCTTCTTTCTGTTCAATGAAGTAGATATTTTCAAGCAARTAGATAGTTTGTGGACTCAACGAAATGATTCTAATTTTCCCAAATTGACACATAAACAAAATACAACTGCTGAACACTAACTTATATGATAGCAAATGCTCAGAACTAAAAGATATAATGAATCATCCAGATGTTTCCAAATGTTTCTTTAGATTTATTATAGTTTGATTAGGCAGATATATCCTATGATAGACAAGCTATTCTTTCCTGGGATGATCATTGGGGAAAAACATTCCACAGGAATTTCCTATATAAATCCTATGTATTTTTAGTTCTGTTTATAAATGATCTCTGGAAAAAAGTAAATAATATAAAAGTAAAATTTTCCATAGCAGCAACTGGCAGAGATTGGAGAATATATACTCTTTTTTGTTTTCCTTTCCTTTTTTAAAACAATTGGATTGTTTTATAAAAAAGCAAGAAGGCAAAGAAAGAGGATATTTTCTATATCATGATCATGGTATATATTACATGAAATGTATTAGATTATTCTTCCAATCTCTAGTTCCTTCACAATAAGTTCATCTTCAAACACAGAATATAGGCTTTATGATTGCTCATCCACTATATGCTGTATGTTAGGTATCCAGAATTTATCTAGGGAAACATTCTTCTTTTTTCCAAAGGCATAACCCCAAAATATTTAGCCGTTTATCTTCTAAAAACCATGCAAAATGCATGTCCCTTGCATGTTTCCTGTTGATAATAGTTTCCCCATTTGTAGTACAACTTTTCTTTCCTCTGGAAAGCTGGTACTTATTTTATTCATTGCTTGCAAAATTGTGCCCTGATGCTGTTCAACCAAAGGACATGGCTCATACAAGTGAGGAGAGTATCGCTCAGGCTATAATCAGCTACAGCAATGGAAAATAGCACTTTTGAACAGGACTCTCTGAGTTCTGGGCAACACTGCCAGAACATCTCTGGACAGAGGTCACATCTAGAGCTCACTCATTAAATTGCTTTCCAAACTCGCTGAGATCTGCCCTACAAAGTCTCCAAGCTCAGCCATTCACCACACTAACAAGTATTATTCTATCTTTACAACCTGTCCAGATATGGGATGTCCCCAGCAATAAAACTGGCTGTCTTCCAAAAGTTTATTTTCAAGTCATTTATTTGGAATCAGAAAACATTTTCCCATAGGAACCATTTTATAAATGGTGTTGTTCCACAGATGCCTGGTTGAGCTACATTGAATTTGAAATGTAACTTTGACTGTAGTGTTCCCACCGACCAATTGTTTATTTAGTTTCTCTGGGAAAGTGCATTCTGATTCTAACTTAGGATGCCTGAAGCCTGCCTCTTCCTCTTCCTGGTAGCTTTTGTTGTAGCTTTTTTGGGGGGGCTCTTTTTAGCAGTGGTAGTTGGAAGAGGGGAGGGAGTAAAAAGCCTTCCTAAGAAAGAGATGAGTGCTGGGGGTGGAGGGTGGTGCACAGCACCTCAGGAGGCTGAGGCAGAAACTTGCAATCAAGGCCAGCCTCAGCTACTTAGCAAGACCCTGTCTCAAAATAAAGAGGGTTGGGGATGTGACTCACTGGTTATTATGGTTTGGATGTGAGGTGTCCCTCAAAAGCTCACGGGAGAAACAATGCAAGAAAATTTGGAGAGACAGGTTATGGGAGCCCTAACCCAATCAGTGAGTTAATTCCCTGAAGGGATTAATTGAGTGGTAACAAAAGGCAGGTAGGATAAGCTGGAGGAGGAGGGTCCCCTGGGGGCATGCCTTTGGGGTACATATGTGGGGAGCTGAGCTTAGCTCTCTCTACTTCCTGATCATCCTGTGAGCCGCTTCCCTCCACCACACTCTTCTACCAGGATGTTCAGCCTCAGCTCTGAGGAACGGAGCCAGCTGTCTATGGATTGAACGCTCTGAATCTGTGAGCCCCCCCAATAAACTTCTTCTTCTTAAAATTGTTCTTGTCAAGTCTTTTAGTCACAGCAGTGAAAAAGCTGACTAGAACAGGGCTTAAGCATTCTGAGTTCAACCTGTGGCGCGCGCACACACACACACACACATACACACAGAGAAGGAAGGGAGGGAGTAAGGAAGGGAGGAAGGGAGGAAGGAAGGGAGGGAGGGAGGGAGGAAGGAAGAAAAAGGAAAGGATGAGTGTACAGAGTCTATATAGATATTTCTGGGTAACTTCTTAATGGCTGGAAGGCTGAAGGAGGAAGCCACTCATGTGATTCAGCTTCTTCCCAGTTCTGAACAGAACATAAAGGGCAGGAGCTTTGGCTAAACAGATCATTTCTAACTCAGATCTTCATGAAGAGGGAAAGATTTTTTTTTCTTAAAACCTTCAATTTTTGAAGACCAAGCCTCTGGACTTGTAATTAGCCAGGGAAATTATTTAAAATTTCTTTGTCAGTGATGAATCACTGTCCAAACACATAGAAATAATGAGACCTATATTTTGCATCTATCCCTGGACCTGAAAAATAGTAGGTATTCCAAAACAAATATTTTTTATTGAATGAARTACTAAAAAGTACTAGACCACAATCGAATGCATGTGTGGGTCCGTTAACTGCATTCTAATTGAGCTACTCCTAATTCTGACCGTCCCATAGCACACTCTTTGAAGAAGTTACTGGAACATCAGTCTTACCTGGGGGCAGGTGCTGGGTCTCCATGCCCTCTCTGTTACATATCAACTTCTAACACGCTCTCTCTACTGCCAAGACTGGGGAAATAAAAAGATAGAGCAGGAATAGGTGCTGTGACAAACCAAGAAGGCTATCCAACCCTAGGACCCTGGCCGGCACAGTTTCTAGCACAAGGTTTATTCTGGCCAACATTGCCTGCTAAAAACGACCAATGCACTTTTTTTTTTTTTTTTGGTCAGTCGTTTTTATAACACAAGTAGACATATTTTAGGGGGCTGTGCCTCTCTTCCAGGCTACAATTTAGCCTGTACAGCAGACCTGGGTCTTGTCTATTTCAGGTTTTCAAATTGCATAACAATTTAAATTCATTTCTGTACTTGCAACTACTTTAAGAAGAAATACAGTATGAAATCGCCCTCCACTCAAAAGCCTTCCCCACTCCCAACCCCCATAAACATATCTGTTAATTTTCATTTGATAAACTGCTTTCTTTTTAAAGCTCCATTTGTGTTCTTCAAGACAGCCTCTTTCTCCAAGATTAACATTTCTTCTGATTGCTCCTGACAATGGATACACTTCCAGAGGCCCTGCTAAGGATAACCAAAAAAGGGCATGGAGCAGGCTGGTTTTGGCAGCCTGCTCGGCTGTTTCAGAGCTTTTTAGGTCTTGGTTTTTCTGATGAGTGATTTCCTGAGCATGCCTGGGGAATGACAGGCATCTGCACAGGCCCACGGCATCACCTTGGCCAGGGTGTCGTCATTGGCTGCTTATTAGAAAAACTACAGGACAATGCATACCACTGACTGCCGGCTGTAAACATAGGGGATATGTGTTCACTTAGCATGGACTTCTGGGAGGGGCCAAGGAAGGGCGGTCTGCAGTTTTATTGAATAGAGCAGTGTGCATTCGGCTGCCTGCCTGCCTGCCTGCTCTCTTGCTGTGCTCCTGCTTAAAGGGATCAGCCCTTCCTTTCCCACGGAGTCCTGGGGAAGAGATTTCAGCCGCGGAGGTAAGGCACGGGGGYCTTTCTCTTTTCTTTTCCAGAGAAGCTGGGGACTTTTCTCTGGGTTTCAATCAACATTCCTGGCCAAGGTAGCCAGACATGCAAGATCCTTCAAGGCAATAGACCATGTAAATTCTCAGAGTCAGACTGGGCTTCACCACCCTGCAGATGTTCCCAGAGGCGAACAGGGTGAAATTTCAAGTTTTGTTTCTAGAGTTGGGACAAGAGGAGAGATCACATAGTGACTTGTGTCAGGGAGCACTGGCAACGTTGCTTCAGATGTCCTTTTGTTTAGGAGAGGGACGTGGGTTTGTACCTGATGACCACAGGCCAGGGCTAGCGGGCGGGCTGTGCCACTCAGCAGCTTCTTCTGCATCTTTTATTATCAGATTTTGAAAGGAGTTTTGCTTTAAAAGTAAGAGCAACAACTATTTATGTTGATGAGAAGCCAAAAAGTGATGTGTGTGTGTGTGTGTGTGTGTGTGTGTGCGCGTGTGTGTGTTTAAACCACATGCATTTCTATGTTACTCTGCAAACAAGAACTAGACTTTTGGAGCTGGGGAAAAAACAAATACAGTCAGAGGGTCCTAGCTCTAGTGATGGTTGAGTTAGTGTCACTGATCTGATATTTACTAAGACAGAGGTTGCCTACCCTGATCTGTTTCCTATAAAACCTAAAAACAAGAGTATGCATGTGCTAGTGGGTGTGTGTTTAGAAATCATAGTTAACCTCCTACCAAACTATTTCTCAAGAACTCTCATTTTTCTGTTTGAAAGTGTGCCTGACTATGCCTGGAGAATTTGAAAAAAAAAAATGTGGGTTGGAAATGTGTTCCAGAAAGGAAGGAGACAGGCTTTTATTTCAAGATAGACGTATTTGGGCATCTTAAATAGAAGCACAGGCAGCTAGTTGGTAGTATGGTCTGCAATTCCTTTTAGAAAGAGCTGATTGTAAAGGGCGGGGGAATTTTAGTGCTGTGGCAATCCAGGGTCAAAAAAGTGGATAAGAACAAAGTACTTGGTCTTCAGAGATCTGTCTGTTAACAAGACTATGCAGATGAACTTATAAACGGAAACAGCAAAATCCTTCTAGTGTTTTTGGCAAAACYGGACATGTGTGGCTAGATCTTATGTGGAGAGAAGGGCAAATCTGATAATTTTTTTTTAATAATATGGATATGAAAGGCTACCACTCCAAATGACAGATTCCATTTGATTTTATTCCATGCAGTATGGTGGTTTGGGGTTGAGATTCATTAATMTTTTCTCTTTGTATTTAGAAATTGGGGATAATTTCTTGAGAATGTCTCTCTCTGCTTCTAGAAGTGATATATGAGAACAGACTTCCCTGTGAATTTCTTTCCCTGGACTAGTTCTGAGTAAGTGTGAGAGGAAGGCTGCAGGCAAAAGCTACAGTTTGATTATTGTCCTTCCCTCGAAGAGATCAAGTTCCAAACTATTTTCACAGTGTTTTTAATGTCAATCAAAATATGGAGAGCATTTTTTTTTCAACTGTTCTCTAAACCATGTAGGGAATGCAGTTTGGAAGGAAATCCATAATCTTGGGATTTGAAGATAAATTCCATTTGAAACCAACATCTTCAATCCCTGAAAGTTCAGTCTTTCTATGACCACTCTCTCCCATCCCCTCCTGTGCCTCCCACCTCCAACAACCACAAAAACACATTTAAAAAAAAAAAACCCACAAAAAAAAAAACAGTGTACATGTTCTACTGTAGATTGAAATGTGAGGATTTTAGTTTCTGTTGAACTTTAGGCAGTTATTTGGGTGTCATTTTGCTGTTGAGTATTAGCTATAACACATCTCCCCCAAATAGGRAGGCAAACAGACTCAATAAAACCACACTTGGGAACTTTCATTCTATTAAAATCATTTAATAAAGAGAAATATGATGGCAAAATTCTGGGACAAAACATTACTGAAAGAGCTGATCTTTGGACACTCGAGAAATGTACAAGGGATTGGCTATAGGTAAAGTGTAGAGTTGTTTCCATTTCAAAGCCAATAGAATGGGGAATTTAAATAATTCAAATGAAAAAAAAATGACATGATTTTTGCATTAGAGGGAGAAGGAGAACCATATTCAAAAGATTTAAATGAGACACATGAGAGCATTTCCTGACAGGAGGGCCATTAATAATTCTTATTGACCTCTGTGACTGTCCTGAAGAGCTCCTGCTCTCTGCATATGAAATAAGTTGGTACTGTGACATGCCATAGAAAGTTCCAGAACCTAGCCTGGGTATATTCTGTTCTGATGAGTGAAATGCACCTCAGAAGTCCTTAAAAAAGAAAAAGAACATGTAGTTGTCATTTTCATGGTAGCATGATAACTAGTTTGTCACTCCTTTAACAAGACAGAAAAGTGACTTGAGATGGGTCTGAGAGAGGATTTGATAGTTTCCCATCTGCCTGTTGTCTGTCACTGGGTTAGGAAATGTGGTGGGGTGAGGCCATGGGGGTTGGGGAGATGGAGAAAATGCTGACGAAGAGGAATGCAAATAGCATGGTAGACTAAGGAGGAGGTTAGAAAGATACTGCCAAAGAATTTTTAGACTTTCAAAAGGGGTTTTCTGGGTAAAATCTCTCAGATTCTGAAAATAGAACCATTAGCATCTTAACAGAAAGTTCTTCATCTGTCAAGCTAGCCCAGATGCCCATCCATTCTGGGTGCTGGGTAATTTAAAGAGATGCTTTTAGCTCAGCCTTAACTCTCGAGCACCAAGATGAGACCTCACTTGTAGTTTTGGTTCCTCTGCTGAAATGACCCTGACCTCTCAAAGGCATCAATTCTTTGGCCACATCTGCAGAATGGATCCGGTAGTGATTAATATCTCTAAGTGAAGCGAGCCTTTGCTCTTCTTCCCTGTAGGCTAAGTACACTGAACTGCCTTCAATTGGAGTCCTGTGGACATTATGTTCCTACCTCTTACCTACTATCTTGAACTATTTCCTCCTTCCTCATACTTCCATCCTTGGGTGCTACTTTCTGGCTCCAACTTCTTTCTAGGTCTCTGGTTCCATAATCTAGTGAATCATGGGTCTAGCCCAGTGTAGTCTGAAGTCTGGTTTTGATGATCAGAGACCAGGAGAAAAATAAACAACAGGAAGATAAGCCATCAGAGGTGCAAGGCAATATCTAGGAACCAGGAAATCTGAAGATCCAGATGAGCAGAAGACCAAAGACAAGTGCTGACAACAGAAAGGCCTTAGTAAATGAGGCAGCTTCTTTGCCTCCAGCCAAAAGCATGGAATTAATCCCAGCATGTCAAGCCTGGGCCTTGTCGGGAGGATGAGGTAATCAGGAGCACCTGGCTGTGGTTCCTGTTGGTATTGAGACCAGACTGCTGCACGGAGCTTGCCTCTCACCTCTGAGGGCCTCAGTCTTTAGTATCCCCAACTGTCACTGAGCCCTGGTAGCATCCCTAACTTCCTCACCCCACCCCTCCACCCCACCAGCTCCTCGATTCCCTAACCAAACATGGAGCTTTCCTGGTTCCACACTGGAAATGGACAGGATCCGGGCTCTGGGATGAGGCCCAGACGACGGTGTAAGTGTCAAGCACTGGTTCTAGATAGAGGAAAGCTGCTTGTCTTTTTTAGGCAGAAGGAGAAAAGTTAAAAGAGCAGGCAGAGTTGAGATTAGAGCATTTTCTGTAGTAAGGGGCCACAAGCTTTCAATTGGCTGGCGGGGAGGGGGGCAGGAAGCCTGGAAGCCCCAGGCTATGAGGAGGAAGTGAGGAGGCTGTCCTTCTGGTAGGATGTTTTGCTGGTGGTGCTTGGAGAACTTGGACAATCTGATAAGAACTCTGAACCCTGAGGTCCTTTGGGAACCCACCCTTTGTGATTGACTGGTAAGGGACCCACCCTTGAGGGGCAGGAGATGACCCGCAGGAGGTAAGGGTATGATCAGAATATGAGTGGAGATGTGCTTCTTGTTCCCAGATCTGGAAGGAAAAGGAGATGGGTGTGCATACACAGATACAGAGGAGGAGACTGCCTCCTTCAGCTTCCCTTCCAAAGAAAAGGAGATCATCAGCAGAGAAGAAGCTGTTTCCTTGTGGGTAGCTCACAGAGGCTAGAGAAACTCAGGAATGGCAGCTATTCAGTGTACTCCCAGAGAGCACCAAGAGATGAATAAAATGATTGCTAAGCAGCTGTGAAGCAGAGCTTGAAGGAAAATAATTTTTTAAATATTTTAAATAAATTGGGTGTTCTTTATAAGCACCCATTTTAATACATATCTTTTCTTTTTTTTTCAAAAGAGTGTGACTACATACATCAATAATGGAGAACTTGAAGACGATTTTCTTTTTAATCATTTCCTGAGGCTTCTGGCCTTGCTTTGTGAATATGCAGATGAGAGCCCTTGACTAGAAGGGAATCATCATACTTGAAGAGGAACGTATTAAGTAGGAATATGTAATTAGTTCCTTTCACAGCCACATGTAACATCCCTTTTTGCTTCCTTCAACATTTTTTGCTGAGGAAGTAGGCAGACCTCACTTGCATGTTGGGCAGGATCTGGGGAAAGCACCCACAGGGACCAAGGGCCAGAAGGCATCAGTGTTCCCCTAGGATGCACATAAAGCAGAAAAATAGGCTCTGTGGTAAATTACAGCTGGGTGAGCAAAGGAAAAATAGGAAACAATCAGAAGTCAGGTAGTTTTAGAAATGAAGGTCTTACTGAGCAAGTCAGTGTATGGTCAGGTAAGATGCAGTCTGGGGAAACAGATGCTTATGTTCACAAGCTTCAGAAGCTCAAGTCAAGGGGCAGGATTATAAAACACATGTGGAATAATAAAGGGATGGAATCACATGGAAATCCAAAAGCCAAATCAGGACCAGAGAGTCCACAAAGAGTGAAATTAGCATCAAGGTGGGTCCAAGGGTCTCAGCAGAGAACTCTATCTCCACCCAAGGTGTTTCCAGTCACAGAACTCAGCTTCAGACTGTGTCTGCTTCTTTCCACTGTCCTATCACC